TTTTTTGGTGGAATCCTTGATTTCTGAATCCCTTCCATCCCAACTATCTCAGAGCTTTGGTTGTGTGTTCTGTGGAAACTGTTGCTGAAGCCTCCTGAGGCAGGCAGGCAGTGGGACAGAGGACGGCAGACCAGTCCTTGCCCACTGGGTTGGAATTTGCTATTGTCTGCCCCACCAAGTGTGAGCTCCCCCAGGCAGGGCTTGGGTTAGGTTTTTGTTTACTTGTTTGCTTGGTTTTTTGGGTACCGGGAATAGAACTCAAACCATGCACTCTCAGGAGGCAAGTGCGATGCCACTAAGCTGTATCCTGGCCCTGGGTTCGGGATCTGTTGCAACCCAGCTCTGAGTCCAGTCTAGAATGGACCAGGTGCTAACCAAAGAAGTATTCACTAATTGCCATTTTGCACCCCTTAAAAAAAAAAAAAAGTGCTTCTTTCCACCCCTGGAGTCAAAAGAAAGAGTCATAAAAGTTTATTATATGAAAGAAAGGACATAGCTCTGTACATCTATTTACAGGTATGCGGCTTATTTACAGCGGTGCAGCGGGGGCAGAGGCCTGTTGTGGAGAGGAGGCCTGGGGACCTCCATGGCTCGAAATCAGGGAACCTCGACCAAAAGGGGGACAACAGAAGCCGGTGGGAGGAACAGGGCTTCCTGTCCTTCCTGAGGGAGACTCGGTGAGTGTGTGGCAGTGGGACAGAGCCCAGAGTCACGCAGGACCCTGGAGGAGGTGCAAGGAAGATCCCGGAGTTGAACCCAGAACATTCCTGGGCTGATCACAGTGTCCCTGGGGTGCTCTGGGGAAGGTCTGTGCCCTTCTGTCCCCAGTGCTGCCTGCCACAGCAGAGGGGAGCAGTCCCTGGGGGTCACAGCTCGCTGGAGCGCACGGCAGGCTCCAGCTTGTGGGACAGGGCGGTGAGGACCTTGTCGAACGTCTCATAGCGCCGGGCCTGGCTGCTGCTGGCGCCCTGGCTGCCCCAGAGGAGACGCATCTGGAACTCAGTGCTGAACACCTCCAGCAGCTCCGGGCGGGGCTGGAACCCTGCAGGGCAGGGACACAGGGTCAGGGACCACAGGGCTGGAGCCTCCGCACCACCAATGCGCACTGGTAGGGAGCCTCCTAGGCACCTCAAGACTTTGGTCAACAAGGCCTTGCGCATCAGCACCTCATCTTTCCTACTGTTTATAACATATACTTTCATACACTTTCTAGATGACTAAAAGTTTACAGTGATGTTATTGTTTTTAGTGTTTTGAGATGGGTTTTACTATGTAGTTCAAGCTGGTCTTGAACTCATTATGTAGCCCAAGCCCATCTCAAGCTGATGTTTATCCTCCTACCTCAGCCTCCTGAGTGCTGGGATTACAGTAATGTGCCACCACATCTGACTACCTCCTGGTAATTTTTTTTTAATCTTAATTTTTCCCAGCTGCGGTTTCTAATTTGTCTTCAGTGAAATTTTGTGACTTAATGCCAAAAACAGTAAAAGAAAAATTGAGCCACCTGCTCTCTGTACCTTCCCAGACAGGGAGTTCTGGGCTCCCTGAAAATGGGCAGGTCTGCCTCCAGACAGGCCTATCATAGATAGGAACTTCACAGATGCCCACTTCACAGACGGGAACACTGAGGCTCAGCAAAGCATTACAAACAGGTAGGGCGCTGAGTCATCCCATGTCTGCCCAGCCCACTAACAACTGCTTGGTGACCTGAGAGGGAGGAGCAAGGAGTCGTGGACACAGGGCAGGACAGAAGGACAAGGACTGTGCCTTGGGGCCTCAAGGACCTGAGAGGAGTGTAGGGGGAGACACAGGGACCCAGACTGCCTCCACTCACCCTGCAGCTTGACCTCAGCGTTGGTGTGGTACAGGCCTCCGTGGTGTGCCACCGTGCGGGCAGCCTCTAGGTGCGCCAGCACCACCTCCACGCCGTGCTCCGTGCTGCCCCAGGGCTCTGGGCCCTCGGTGGGCGCTGAGTCGCACTCCAGCAGCGTGATGAGCGGCAGCACATGCGGAAACGTGGTGTTGCTCAGCGGTGGACCTTCTGTGGGCACAGCGGGTGGTCAGCGATGTGCCCACTGCGTTTCCGGGGCTGGGGTCCCAGGATCCCCCACAACCCTTTCCTTTCAGAACCTCCGGGTGAGCTCCAGGCCTCAAGCAGCCCAGGGGGCTGAGCCCACACTGAGCTAGCACCTGTGCCAGGTCACCTAGCAAGGCAGACCCGTACCTTTGCCCTCATTGAGGCTCTTGAGAAAAGGCTTGAGCTTCTTTTCGTATAGGATGGCGCCCTCTGTGTGTCGCTGCCGCAGGGTCACCCACGTCTGCTCTAGCCGGGAAATCTGGGGGGAGGACACACAGTCTGAGACAGTCCAGGGAGGGGCCGGCAGGAGAGCCCACGTCACAGGGCAGGGAATGAGGCCCAGAGAGCGTAAGGACCTGCCTGGAGATATTCCAGGATACAGGGCAGAGCTCGCGTTGAACCCTGAGCCCTGCTGTCCTCCTCCATCCTTTTGTTTATTAGGTCCAGGAAAGACCCGCACTTAGCCTGCATCAAATCCTCAATTGCCAGATGTTGTGAGTTCAAGCAAATAAATACTTTTGCCTCACTTGCCCCATTAAATATTTTTTTACTTACTAAGTTTATTTATTTATTTAGGTGGAGTTTTTTGTTTTGTTTTTATTTTTTATTTTTATTTTTATTTTTTTATTTTTCCTCGAATGGCTTCAGGGCACTTTTGGCCAGCGGGAGAGTTGTGAGGTTCGAACTCCAGCAACCTGAGGCTGAGAGCTTTATTGAAGCAGCCACTTAAAGGCCTGAGCGGGGCTGGAGAGATGGCTCAGTGGTCTAAAGCACCTACTTGAAACAAGCTTGGCAAAGCACAGGGACCGCGGTTCGATCCCCAGCACCACATGCCAGCCAGACCCGCCCCCTGGTGGGCTGAGCTGGCCACACACACACAATAAATAAATGTAATAAAAAAAAAAAAAAAAAAAGGCCTGAGCTAGGGCCATGCCCCCCCCCCTTTTTTTTTTTTTCCGTTTTGTTTTGTTTTTAGACCAGGCCTCACTATATAGTTCTAACTGGTCTTGAATTTGTGGCAACCCTCCTGTTTCAGCCTCCTGAGTACTGGGATTACAGGCCTGTGCCAACACAACCAGCTTGTTTATTTAGGTCTTTTGAGACAGGGTCTTGCAATGTACTAGCTATAGCTGGGCTTCAGCTTACTGTGTAGCCCAGGCTGGCCCCAAACTCCAGATGACTTCCCTGCCTCAGCCTCAGAGTGCTGATAAATATTTAGCATATTGCCAGGCATGGTGGACACACCTGTGATCCAAACACTCAGGAGGCAGAGGCAGGAGGATTGCAGTTCAGGGCCAGCCAGGGCTACTTAGTGAGAGTCTGTCCCCAAAACAAAGAAATAAACACACGCTTAGGGTAGCTCCCAGCATGAAGTTATAGCCATTTTGTGTGTGTGTTTTCTGTGATGAATCCCAAAATCTCATGCATACTAAGCTAGTGCTTAAACACTGAGCAACATCCCAGCCCTTTCTGTTTGTTGTTGTTGTTTTTGGTGGAACCAGGGATTGAACTCAAGCCCTTGCGTTTGCCAGGCCAACGCTTATTCTGCTGAGCCATCTCCCCAACACCTTGTTTTTCATTTTGAGACATGATCTGTTTGAATTGCCCAGACTGGCCTCCTACTTGTCACCCTCCTGCCTCGGCCTCCAGAGGAGCTGGAGTTACAGGTGCGTGCTACCACGCCTGCCTATGTGTACTCTGGGGAATCTGAGGCCCAGAGAAAGGGAAGAGCTTGGTCCAGCCAGCACTGGAGGAACTCGGTTCTCCTGGTTAGTTTCTCACCAGCGATGCCTGGAAGCTCACAAAGCTTTGTCTCTTTTCACGCTACCTCCCCAAAGGCCCCTCGTCCAAGCGGTCTAGTAGAGGGCCTCTCAGTACCTGCGCCATGTCCAGGGCGCTCATGACGGCGGCGAAGCTGAACATATTGCCCATGGTCCCCCGCAGCTCTGCAGCCAGCTGGATTGTCTTGTGCAGCAGCGCCGCGCGCTCCTCCGCCGAGCCGGTGCAACCCAGGATGTCCACCGCAAGCATGATGGACATGGTGTGGAACCTGTAGGAGCGGGTGGGTCAGGAGGCAGGGCGGGGCCCCTGCCAACGCCTGTCACAGGGCGCCGCGGGGCAGAGAGGTTGCAAAGGGTCCAAGCATTGGGGGCGTAGCCAGAATGAGGGACAGCAAGGCTGGGGCTTCTGATTAGTCAGTGTAAGTGAGGGGCGGGACCAGGACGCCAGGAAAGGGGGGGTCTTATGATTGATGAATGGAATTCATTGAGCAAAGATATTTTAAGAATGAACAGAGAGAGGTCAGAAATGATGGGCGGGGCCAAGGTTGATGGGCAGGGGACGTGCACCGAGCACCCAGAGGTAAAAACTTCAAAGTTTCAGAAAGCAGGAATGCTTTGAGCAAGACACTGCGAGGTTGCGACTGGCCGGCTGGATGGGGCTGGGGGGCGTGGCAGAACCCCCGGGGACCAAGGAGAGTCCCCCTTGCCAAGAGCCGTGGCCGAAGGCGCGAGGCAGCCTGAGTCCCTGAGACCTCCCCCCCGACCGGCGCTGGCTTACCTCTCCAGCAGGTCTAGTCGGAGCTGCCGGCCATGGGGGAGGGTGAGCAGCTCCATGCCCCAGCGGACTCCCATTAGGGTCTGCATCTCCTTGGTAACGCCCAGTATCCTAGCAACCTGCAAGGACGCCCAGAGGGCTGATTAATTTCCTGTCAGGGTTGACCCGAGCCATCTGAGAGTCCAAGGCCTCTAAGACGGTAGCACGGCTGAGAGGCCGGTTTGAATCCCAACTCCACCACTAATCGTCAGGCATATAGCAAGAGAGTCTACTTTTTTGAGCAGGTCTCAGTTTCCCTACCTGTGAAATGGAGGATAAGTGGGGAAATGCCCAGGGTGCCTAACGTGTTAAATACTCAGCTCGGGTTAAGGACTAGAACGCCTGTTTTCCAGAGGGCAGCCTTGAGGCCAGGGAGGAAGAGGCTGCAGAAGTCATCCGGGTTTCTCCCTTCCTGCCCAGGCTTTTCGTGGAGCAAGGTCGCAGCCTTGATTCCTCTCGCTTCCAGAGCTCTGAAACCAGGGTGACTAGGCAATCGTTCTTCCCAACCCACGGAGGGAGACGCAGGGGCGCAGGGAGAACGTGGGTCCTTAGACGCACAGCAGAGGTCCCCCACGACTTCTAGCCAGAAGGGAGTTTGTTGATTCTTCCACAAGGGGGCGTGGGGGCGGGAGTCGGGCTTTGCGTGTTCTGGACCCAGGAGCAACTTTCATTAGGTAGGCTCTGGTCACACGGAAGTGTCCCCAAGTGCAGGGACATGTGCTTCAGGTTACTCCATTCCTGTACTAAACCGCGAGTGTCTTGATTTTTTTTTTTTTTGGTGGAGGTGGTACTTTTTATTTATTAATAATTTTGAACTAGGGTCTTGCTTGCTATGTACCTCAGGCTGCTCTCAAACTGGTGGTGCTCTTCCTGCCTCTATTTCCCATATTCTGGGATTACAGGCGTGTGTCACCATGCCCAAGTTGGACTCTTTCTTTTTCTCTTTTCTTTTCTTTCTTCCTCTCCCTCTTTCTTCTTCTTCCTTCTTCTTCTTCTTCTTCTTCTTCTTCTTCTTCTTCTTCTTCTTCTTCTTCTTCTTCTTCTTCTTCTTCGTCCTCCTCCTCCTCCTCTTCCTCCTCCTCTTCCTCCTCCTCCTCTTCCTCCTCCTCCTCCTTCCTCCTTTCTCCTTCCCCTTTTCCTTCTCCTTCTCCTTCTCATTTTTCCCCCTTCCCCTTCCCCTTCCTCTTCTTCTTTTTAGAAAAGAGGCCAGAGGTGATAGTGCTCTCGTGCATCCCAGCATTCTGGGACTAAGGCAGGAGGACCTCAAGTTCCAGCACAACCTGGGCAATTTAGCAATTAAGCGAGACACTGACTCACAATAAGACATTTGGATGGAGCTCAGTGGAGAGAACTTAGGCTCAGCCCTCAGTACCACTGAATAAAATAAAAGGAGAAAAGAGAGGCAGGAGCAGCACTGAGTCTGAGTGGGAAAACAGCACGACTGGAATTCGGGAACCAGCCCCTCACCCCCTTGACTCGGGTCCCCAGGCCACTGCAGGGCACTGCCAGCACTCACCAGGCAGTCGACCTTGGTGACATGCCGGGCCAGCGTGCGGGCGTCCACCTCGGCCAGCAGCTCCTTCACCTTGCGCAGCAGCCCCACCTCCAGGGGCCTGTTTTCTTTGGGGATCAGCAGGGACTGGAAGGTGGCCAGGTTGAAGGAGGAGGTGGCTTCCACAACTGGCGCAGTGAAGCCCTTGCCCCTGTCCCCCTCAAGGGTCCCACTTTCCGACAGTTCCTTTAGCTTTTCCCCATAGCTCCGAGCTTGCCTACTGGAGGTCTCAGCTGTGGCCCACTCGCGGCTGCCACGTGCAGGGGGCTTCAGCTGGCAGTAGTGGCCAGAGTCTGGGTCGCTGTAGCTGCTGAGTGACGGCGACGGGGAGGCCTTGCCGAGGCTGTGATTGGGGCTGGCATGGGTGGCCTTGTCCAACTCCCCGAGGGGCTTTGGGGCACTTCCTGAACTCAGCTGGGGCTCGCTGGAGCGGCGGGCAACGGGAGAGGCTGGTGGTACAGTGGTGGAGGGGGCTGCAGGGGCAGCGTGGGCTCGGGTGACTGCGGGGAGGAGACAGAGGTCAGGTCATTGTCGCACCAAACAGAGTGGGGTCCCCAGTCCCTGATGGCCACATGGGGTGACACCCGCCTCTCACATGGGTGGCTGCAACAGCCTTCGGTGACTCTGAGGCCCCTGGCTGATGCCTGAGCTGCTGTACCTAGTAGCCACAGGGCCACTTGGAGGAGGAGGTTTGCAGAGAAGCCAAGCCTACAAGAGCCTGCAAGAGCCAGATGCTCATGGGACGGCTTCTTGGTGAGTGGGCAACAATGATTTGCCCAGTGCACATGTGGCTGGGGCTGGTGACTTACTGGGGTTAACACCAGTAAATGACGCTAAAGGCACTGGCACAAGTCAAAGGTGGGGCTGCAGCCCTGTGGATCCTAGCACCCCGAGAGGCTGAGGCAGGAGGACCAAAAGTTGGAGTCTAGGCTGGGCAATTTAGGGACTCAGCAAGACCCTGTCTCAAAATAAAAATGAAAATGAAAATGAAAAATGATCTGGGGATGTAGGCCAGTAGGAAGG